CCCGCCCCACAAGCACCTGCCCGTGGGCTGGGGGAGAGGGGGAGGTCACTGGAGCTCGAAGATGCTTTCGTTGGGTGCGTACTAGTGGTGCAACATCGGCAAAAAACATCGATGTTGGTTCGATGTTTTTAATTGTCGATGTTGTTTCAGTAACCTCTATCATTAAATCCGTGCGCATCAAACTTTAATTGGACAGTAGCAGGTGCGTATTAATTTATAATTAAAATTTAAATGAAAATAAAGTTAAAACGCCTTTACATGTGCGAAATACGAAAGAAAAACCAGGGCATTAGGATTATCTCTAGCAAGGAGTTTTTCTGCTCGGTGAAGCAAACCGCGTTGGTTTGGTTCGGTCACTTAACAGTTATTTCGTATTTTAGATTGTACACTATTGCATTGATGTTTTGCATTCACGAACAAAACATTGAAACAGTAAAAACATCCGGCACACATCGGCAATATCGATGTCCAAAAACAATCGGTTTCAATACATCGATGTTTAAAATGTCGATATGTTCATAGAAACATCGACGTTTTGAAAACATCGACATCGATGTCGCATCCCTAGGGCGTACATGTTGCAGCAGAGAGAAACGGCAAAATCTGCAATAACAAAAAAGGAACGAGAACAAAGAGAAATGTTGCCGATCCGGTGGCCGAGATCGCTAAGGCAGTAGTGCCGAAGGATCGCGGGTTCGAGTCCCGCCTCGGGCATGGTTGAATTGTGTTTCGTCCTTTCACCCCCTATCATCATCATTATCGTGTCAACCCACAGTTACCATACCGTTACAAGCAATAGTGGTCGCTAATGACCTAGTAGTTGATGCGACCTTAAATAGCAAACAAACAAAAAAAAATGGAAATGTTGGTATTGACTACGTGAAGTCTGGGGACCAGCGCTGCGATCGTCTTTAAGAGCGTAGAGGTTGCTGGTAGCACAAGTGATCATGGCCCTCGTTGTTGCAACTGGTGCATTGCATCCAAAGCGAAACATTGACTTGACAAATTGATCAGGTGCTTTTTGTAAGCTATGGAAATAAAGGGGTAAAACTCACCACAATAAGTTCTTGCGGGATAAAGCTGTCGCCGAAATGAGCACAGCTCGTACGTTTTAGAGGTCATTCTTCATTTTGAGGTTTGCCACACCTGACGAATGAAATTTACAACACAAAACAAATAATTATTGGTAATTTATCATTTTGTTTGATATTGTTTGCCGTGTAAAATGAAAATACCAGTTCCACCGTTAATTCTGAAATGCTTGCTCGGTTCGTCTATCCGTGCATGCACAGATGCGCGCCCGACTCGAAGAGCTATGCGGCAGAACATTCGTACTCCTTCACAAGCGCCAACTTAGGCCCTGCGATGGATAAGGAGGGCTCGGATTCTAATGACATGTCATCTTTGAATTGGTGCGTTCTAGAAGTAGCCAACGTGGAAATCAAAATGTATTACAACGTATAAGTGATAGAAATGTATACTTATTAGGCAATTTATTTGTCATTTTTTTGCACTTTTTCATTTGTTAGGTCATTTTTCCGTCCATTTTGTCATATTACGCTTTTTGTTTCCTTTTCATGTTTTTTTACTGAATGCTTCATGAATTTACAATGACTCACTAAAACACTTTTTTTATTTAATCATCAGTTCTTAACGAAATTCACTATTGCAATGGGTTCTGTTCCCGAACTCTGAAACTTACACGGATCTTCGCTTACACTTCCTCGACCGTAGAAAGTCGACGATTTGAAGATCGGAGATATATATTGCATTTCCTACTAAAATGAAGGCTTTATTTTAAACATTTTTACATAAATAAACTTATTCAAAATTGTAAAATTCATTGAATAAGTAAACATTTTCATACAAAGTTTTAAGTATTTAAAAGAAATTAGGTAATTTTCCCCTTATTTTTAAGTCATTTTGTAGGTCATTTTCAAAGAAATTTTAGGTTACCAGAATCCGAACCCTAATGGTAAGTCACTCGCTTGCGTACTTCGTTCACGCTCGGCTGCTCATAGAATTTCATAAAATGAAATTAATTTCATAAAACGAATTCAGTTGTAAAAAGTGAGGAATCATTAGAGGCAGCTGGTCCGTACGTGCTCCGGTACTGTCACACATTAACTGTTCTCTAAAATAAACTTTTAACCAATGTGTTTCAAAACATCAGATTTTTGTTTAATTACCGATGAAGACGGTGGTAAAATGCGTAACATTTGTGGATATCGGTTTTGATGTCTTAAAACACTCTCCTAAATGCCTACATCTGGAGGGATTTATGATCTAGCATGTACTATTTTGAACGAGACACCCTGATGATGATATGCAGAGCACGAGAATTCCTGTTGTGCTCATGCGCTAAATTGCTGGCTATTAAGCTATTGGAGGCTGCGAGAATCACAACACTAAGCTTCACAGGCCTCACAGATCTACCACCTGTCTACCAGTTTCATAGCCGAAAACATCTAACTCAGTGTATATTAACCATGTTAACCATAAAATAAATTAACACCAAATTACCAATAAAAAGCTTATTTACCATCAAATTATTTTATAAGTATAATTTAGGTGTACTTATTATCATCTGTATGTGGATATATTTAAGAAATTTTAGGAATATTTTTTTGTTCAAATTGTAGTGCAATGTCTAAAATTATCTTATTAAAATACTCTAAAAAATAGCCATAATACATGCTCGGGAAGGGAGCAGACTAGCTCATTTTCAGCACCAGCCTCCACCGAGAAACATAAAAACGATGTTTATTGTTGTTAATTTTTTTGACATTTTACGTAACCTCGTTTTGTATGGAAGATGGAAACTTTCAACATTATATTAAGAAAGATCCACCCCTTTCTTACCCATTAAACGTAATTCAAGTGCGCACTCCTCGAGTTTTTCACAAGAGTTTTGAAGCGACAAGGAAATAAATGAAGGCCAGAAGTCAGAAGGTTTTCAAAACTTACAATTTCCTACTAAATTCCTTTTCGTTTTATTCCGAGCTTTTAGGCTTCGAATATTTCAAATCCAAAGTCAAAAATTAGTTCCTATGGACGGGAGTTGGGCGGGGCGGAGCGCGGTGGGGTTGCAATTTTAATGACATCGTTTTTCCATTAAAAATAGGCAGAATTCAATCTAATTGATGTTTGTGTTAATAGTAGTTGCTTTTGTTATGCGCCAAAATGCGAAACATGGGACGAAGCAAAATATGGAGTATTTTGGCTCTCCGGTACATTGGACAACTGGACACAACGCGGACAAATGGGACGATCCCGTATTTTAAGGAAATAATGCGATTTCTAAATTGTGTGTGAGAGAAATATTTCATAAAAATATATGAGTGGTGCTAAAACAGCACATACTCTCTCGCCCGTATTTTCACGTACAATTATGCGAAAAGTAGTCAAATTTTCGAAAAATTGTACATGACCTTATTTTAAAATTTATCTTTAAGAAACAGATTGCATTAAGAGGAAAATATCTATCTTCATAATTATAGTGATAGTTATAGTAAGGCGCCGAACAATTTTTGAATTTTTGTAATTTCCGAAAAACCCTTTTCAACGAGAATTTGAACAACACCATTCTCTCAAACGTCCTTTACACTATCCAACAACAAATTTTAATGAAAAACGATGGAGCTATTTTTTAAAACATGGAAAATATCCCAGGGGCTTCATGTAAATCACCCCTCAATATTCAAAATAAATTCAAAGGGCCGCGACATCAGACACATCGATTGAGAATATATTTTGAAGATAATCGGCTAGACGGCTTAGCCGCTACTATTGTTCACAGACGGAGACTGACAGACATTTTGCCGTCATTCCATTATTCGGTATCCAGGACCTACAACACATGGATTCTGGCTACACCACGTGTTAGAAGATTTTTAGCAACTGGATTTTTCCACTTTTTCATTACTTGGGCCAGGCAATAAGAGTTTTTCAGCCGGTAAATCTCCATTTTCCCCCCGCAGCATTACATAAATTTCTCGGTACTGGGTGTGAGAGCGAGAATGTATGAAGGAACAAGGAATACGTTCATTGACGGCGAGTGGTTGAGAGAGGGGAGGTTCAAGGCGCGCCCGCCGCTTCTGCCATTACGCACTTGCTGTCAGTTGAGCGACTTTCCGACGCCTACTGCTCGACAACAGAGCGAATATAGGGCAATTGGCTTTGGCTGTGTTGCACTAGTTTTACGCAGTTGCCAGTTCCACAATACGTAGATTTCGAACGAAAATTGTACGAATTCATCTTCAGAATAGGGACCCAGGGACGGAAATTTTATTGGCCTAAGTTGTAGGGTTTTTAGTTAGTAGTTGTCCCGTTTAATTAGTTCAATCTAATTCGTAATATAATGATGACCTTATATTATTTGTAAAATTACTGATTTCTTATTTGCTCCTGATTCCAGTTAGAGGTCCTGTTTGGATCTTCTGCGTTGGGGACTCTGGGAACCAAGCTACAACACTGGTTTTGTCAATTATGAACTCTGTACTTTCGAATACTTTGAATGTACTTTGGAACGTTGGAAGTTAAACAAGAATAAGATCATAGACTATATTAATCCAGAGTGTATCTACGAATTGGAAATTTCGGAACGCAATGATATATACTTTGCCGTTTCATGCCACCTTCCACTTCCCAGTTTCAAAAACCAGGAGTATATTTTCCTAGATTAGTATTTCACCCTTTTTAATGCCCGGCTTATGTTGCTTTGTTTGAATCTGATGTTATGCAATGGTGGAAACAATAAGTTTAGTGCTAAAAAATCAAGGGTTTTTACTGCTTTAATGAGACTTTAGTACGAATAAGAATTAATCCCTTTGTATTCACGATCACATCACGAACATGTTTTAAACGTTTTAAAAATAATCATGAAATTGTATACTTTGTCTTTGCGGTATACTCGTACCCCATGAAACCGTTTCGTCACATCCTAGTACTGTTCTTCCGAATCTCGACCACAGGACGGAAGGAGCCTTCCTCTTGCGATAGGCGTTGCTTGTGCGTGTGGAAGGGGTCGAAGGTTCATTTACCCAAAATATAGTTCCAATATTACCATCTTTGAAAGCTGATACAAATAATATCTTGAAGCCTTGTTTGCTGAAGGCAGATAACATTAAATATGTACAATGCTGCGCTGAAAAGGTTCTCAAAACGTTAGTTGTTCTGTACGATAACTCGCGCATGAATACACATTACAAGCGAAGTTCTATTCAACTTCTGATCCGCCTAAGGAATATAACGACAATTGACAGTCAGCTCTGGTGCAGTAGCGCGCAGTAGCATTCTTGGATCCGAAGTGTTGGAGTGTGCAACAGGCGTGAGTTCAACCCGGCCATCAGTGGAAGTGATCGTTCCTCAATATTGTGTGATAGTGTCTAATAAAGTTTCAATTCTTCTAAAGTAAATCGTGTACACTCAAAATGGTTTCCGGAGGAATGTCGTTGGTGAAATGTTTACTTTTTATTTTCAACCTTTTATTTGTGGTAAGTTAATTGTGGATTAATTGAGAATGGGTATTGTCAAGATGTTTTGTAAATGAATTTTAAAATTCAGTCGCAAAACAAATTAAGTGACTTTTGATGTATAATGTAATTTGCCGTTAACATTTCAGATTTCCGGTATAACAATCCTTGTTATCGGAGTACTGGCATTGTACCCTTATAAAGAATATGCGACGTTCATGGATCCCAAATTCGCAGCAGGACCAATAATACTAATAACTGTAGGCTCAATCATCTTCATTATTGCCTTCTTCGGTTGCTGCGGGGCTATCAAGGAAAATAATTGCATGCTTATTACGGTAAGAAATTTTCTATTAAGAAAATAACTTTATTTCGGTTTGAAATGATTTAACGGTGAAGAAAGTCTCATATTTATTTACAGTACGCGATTCTTCTCTTGACGATATTCACCGTACAACTGGCTGCTGGAATCTGCGGATACATATATCGACACGAAGTGAAGAGGGGCGCTGAGAAAGAGATCATAAAGAGTATGGACAACTACAACTCCGATGTGGAAATCAGAGACGCGTGGAATATTTTGCAGTCCGATGTAAGTACATTCACACACCCTGTGGTCAGTAGCAAAGCGGGAGGGTTTTGTGAAATTGTAGAAATTTTAATTCTACAAGTGGTCACACAAGTATTCTAATAAGCCTGTTAATTGCTCATAAACATTTGTTTGTCACAATGCCCAGCTTGAGTAATTAGATTAAATGGAAAGTTACAGTTCATTGAATTTTTAACAAAGTTAATAAAATTTGTGCGGTATTCGTATTGTAACATGTTATTACAGTACTGGTTTGGTTGCAATTCTCCAACATGGTACTTTCTATTTAACAAACTAAATTGTTTATTTTTCCTATCGCTTTCACGAGTCTTAGAATTAAATAAATATATTATTTTATTTGGATTAATTTATCACGAGCTAAAGATTCGCTCGAATTTGCGTACATTTTGCTCAAGGTTTTTGCTTTCTCGAACCAAGCATGTAACCTTCTAAGAGTTAGGAGAGTACATATACTCAAATTGAATAATAATTCTGTTAAATATCGTTTTACCAATCATTGTAATGAAATTAATTGGATTTTGAGTGAATTTACTTTACTGATAAATTCAGTCAATAAATTATATTTTTTGACAGAGCTTCCAAACCTCGCGGAAATGGAAATATTCGTAGCTTCAATTTTTGCGCAAATTTTCTTGTGGCCTGCGGGGTATTAGTGTAGAATTGTTTCGTGAACCGTGCCATCGGCTAATCGTTTTCCACACGTTTTTGGCGATAATGAGTCAGTTGTTTCACGGGCAGCGCTTTGGGCGATAAGAGCCAAAAGCCCGAAGCGGCTGTGACTGACCATGAGGGTACCCTGAGAGTACAATTCGACTTAGGCTTTTAAATAAAACTGGAATGGGGTCTGCATACCTATTGATGGAAAAGCCACGTTCTTTTTGCAACGAAGACATCAACCACTGTTGAGTAGAAACCAATGGCGGATCTTTGGGGAAGTCAGTAGTTTCCCAGACTAGAATTCCATTTCGCACTTAATACCTTACCGCACTTAAATTAATGCTCTTACAGTTTTTGAAAGGATGTTTAACCTGGAAATATAAAATAATTTCATTATCGTGGCACATGATTTCCACATTGCCGTTAAAATAACAAGACTTCTCGCAGTGGATATATTTCATGTTATTTTCTTTCAACTAAACTACTGTACTAAAGAACTGTCAAGATTTAGAGATCTTTCTCATTCTTGTAAAAATTGTATTTCATTGTAATTTAGAGATAATAAAAACAGGAATTTTTACTTCTTCCAAAAAGGTCTAGACTTTACTACTTCTTCCTTTCTTACTTCAGAAGGCCTATTCCGGCTTTACTCCATTGTTGCCTTGGTTAACGATCTTTTTCTGGCCAATAATGTTTGGTCACTATTGTGAGCCTGTTATCCATATTCCATCCTTTGCAGGCGTTGTCGACTCTGAACGTTTCTCCTCTATTACTTCTAATATGGAGAAAATGTTGAAGTCTTTTTGGAGAGTTTCGTTTCTGATCTGGTCTAGAAGGCTACAGTCTTTTACTGCTCTTATAAATCGCATTCGGAACCTTGTGTAATACTCTTTTCTGTCGTCAATACCCTTGACTCACACCAATACAGCGAAACTGGTCCTCCATCATTTTGTACACCTTAGTTGAAACATCTTTTTGTTTTCTTAGTAAGCGTCCGTCTTATGAAGCACGTTCGTTGGAACCGATGGAGTTTTATATCAAAATCGTTCTCACAATCGTACACTGTCAGATATTTCCGCATTACTTTAATGAAATGTATTTCATTAAATTAATTATCATAAATAAATATTAAATTTAATATACACATGTACATTAGAATACAACAGTAAGGCTTTATGGTCATATCTGGAAGTAATGAATGAATGATCTTGTTGGACTGGTGAAAATGAATGCACGAGATAAATGATGAGAGGCAGGGGAAACGGGAGAACCTCTACATTAAATCTACATCGATTTTAACTTGTGCATTAAACATAATGTACAAATATATAAAGCTTTTTTAAAGTAACAATGTCCTTTAGTATAGAAATTCATTTTATATTATGAAAAAAATATGAAATGATCCGTTTATATATATATATATATATATAATGTTTTTGTATTTTTCATAGATTTCGAATAATAAGTAATTGTGTACACTTTCACGTCATTTTAATAGTACTTGCTTCAAACAATATTTAGGACGTGCAACAAATGTGCACCATAGAATTCCCGAGTAGCCTATTAGATTTCTTTGCTTATATATTGTAATGCCAGCCGTTTTCTGTACTATGTAATCTAAGGTTCCTGGATGCTAATTGGCGCCATTGTCAGTTCGGCAGATTTTGAAATAAATAACAGCAGAGATTTTCTTTTAAAGATCTGTCCAAAACAAATGTTTGCGAGCTGAGCTCACTTGAACAAAAAGAACAATCCTCGATAACATTAGTAACATAGCCAACAGCTTGAATTGTTCCTCTGAAGTGGTTTTTATCAATTTTTTACGTCATTTTTCTTTGTTTTTAGGGCATTTTTAAAGTATTTCAAGAGCATTTTGTTGTTCATTTTTGGCAATGTTATAGGGCATGACAATTCGCACCTAATTATAATTAAATAAATCTGTTCTTGAATAAGCTCGAGTGCTGTGGCGTCGATGGCCCAAGAGACTGGTCGGTCAAGGGGATTCCTCTTCCTTCGTCCTGCTGCAAACATCTTGACGCTGAGAAGATGTGCAAATTGAGTAATTCATACTCTATTGGATGCTCCTCTGTTCTGAAGGACAAGATAGAACATTATGCTTTAATCATTGGTGGTGTTGCAATTGGCATTGCTTTTGTACAAGTGAGTATTACATAAGGATTTCTTTCTTATTTCGCATTTTCTGAAATGCAAAAAATTTATGATGTCGTCATTTTACAGTTACTTGGGGTCATCCTTGCCTGCTGTCTTGGAAGATCGATTCGAAAGGAATATAATACAGTGTAGAAGATGTATTTGTTACATAAATAAAGGAGATTCTGGACTTCTTCACGTTAGTAGTCGCCTCTACCGAAAGTTTCAAAACAAGTTTTAGTCTTTTAGTTAAAAAAGCAACTATGAGTATTAAGTCTTTAGTTCCGGTATACATTTTCAGCACCTTCGACCTGCTAAAGTTCTCTCTTTACTGTGGTGTCATCACCAAAGTTTACTGACATTCTTTGGGTGTTGATGTCAGCAAAACTTTACTGGCGTTTTGCTCGTGTGTAACACAAATTTATAATCACGGTATAATGTGCAGAATCAGTGGCGGATCCGGAGGGAAGAGATGGATGGAGGACCATGATCCCTCCCCCAAAAGGGATAGTTTTCGTTTGTTACCTTCTTTTATTTGGCAATATTGATTTATATTTTTTTGTTAGAATTGTGAAATTATTAAAAAATAATGTATATAAATAAGTAACGTACTCTTAAAAAATAATGTACACTATGATAATAAAGGTTTATTATTTTACGTAAATCTGTAATGGTCTCTTCCAAAATACTTGCATGGACCCTCCCCAGTGCAGTATATTTCACGTATGATCTAAAACTTGCGAAGATTTGTTATATTTAGAACACATGTACCCTGTGACTGAGGAATGTGTTGAATATTAAACACTTTGCAATTATATTTTTACCTATTAATAAAGCGTGTTTTTTTCGTATGATGTGTATTGTCGATGTTTGAGGTGGGTATTTAAGTTCTAATTACTCGTAAGTAAATGATTGCTTTATAAATTCTTATGCACCAGACTGCCAGGTCAATTAATTGTGAAACGTCCTTTTTTCTAAATTCCCGTGTGATTGAGCATGTTCGGCGTGTTAGTTCAATGTGTAGAAGAAAATAAACAATATTTCTACGTAAATAATGAAATAATGTGCATGGAAATGAAAAATAAATGTTGGAGTAAGATAAAATCTTGAAAATTTCTGATTTGTTATGAATAGTTAGAAGACCTATTAAGATAATACACACCACAATTCTTAAGGTCTTAATAAATATATAGTTTATAAGAGTTTAATTGAATGCTAATATAGTGTTGATTATTACAATAGGTATTCCAACTATTTATAATATTCTTTAATATTGAAAATAACATGCGCGATATCAAGGAAAAGTAACGGCGAAAATTCAGTGAAGAAAGTAAATTTTCTTCCTAGTTTTACGAGGCTGATGTGTCTTGTTCTGAATCGTAGTTGATTTCTTTACAAAATAGTCTCCTTTGTTATATGATTTTCAATTCAAAAAAATGTATGCACCTCTCCGCTACTTGGAAGAGATGGCAGAAAATATAAATATGAATATAAAACGAAACCACGAATGAACCACAAGCCGTCCCACGTAACCACTTGGCATTCCGGATCTTCCGCCTCAGTAGCATTTCGTTATCGCCAACGGTTTTCCTGCACATGCCCATGCACACTGCTGACATCAGTATGGACTGTGGAAATACGCGTCTCTCTAGCTAACAATATAACGTTGCCAATGCAGACGAACCGACCCGCCCGACAAAAACGACCTTCATTGGATGTTTCCAGTAATAAACATTTCGGAGTGTAACCAAATTGGATGTAATATTTTGAGTTCGCAAACCCTCTTTCTGGTCAAGAGTGTTGTGCAAAATTGAAACCAATTGCTCTAGTGGCTCAAAAATTATTGAGAAACAAATATATGTACTACTCGTATACGTCTATAACGTAATATACGTCTATACTATAAATACTCGTACTTGCATATTAGGTTTGTGTCATATAGTACAAATAAGTTGCATAGATTTTTGCATAGATTGCATAGACTTGAGAGAATACTTCTTTTGAATCTCTTTCTAGATTTCAGCATGTAGTTGGGGGGGGAGTTATTATTTTTCATAAGTTTTAAAGTGCGACTTTGTCAGTTTCTACTGACTTCATCTAAACCGCAAATAATTTAGTAACCGTATACTATTATATAAAATAACGCCCTTTTTTTATTAGAAATATGAGAGGAAGACAGTCCTTTCATTACGTATTTATTGACTAGACTTGGATAGACTGAAAGAGCTTCTGGGAATTAATGTAAATATATATATATATATATATATATATATATATATATATATATATATATATATATATATATTTATATATATTACGTTTTTTTTCTTCCTCTTCAAATGGATATTTAACATTCAGTTAATGTGAAATTCTTGCACAGGATTACGCCCAGCCTCATTTAATCAATGGAACTCCATTTTGAAAAACACTCATTGCAAAATTTGTGTTGCATTATTTTACAATGTTTTACATTATCTAGATTGCAACACAAGCTTTCAAGGAATCTCTTCATTCAAAGCCAACTAGAAGTAATTTTTTTCTCGCAAAAAAGGCAATATTGAAAAGATAAAATTTGTATTTAGAATATGCCCTTTTTAAGTGAACATTGTATTGGTCAATATATCCGTAGGTGTATGATGCGGCGTGAAACTGAAATGACGGAGTAGGAGCTGGAGGAAATAGAGAATTCCGAATTTTTCTGTCATTGCTCCAGTCTTGCTGCGCCTATAGGTACATCCTCGTATAGTTTTTGATATTGGAAAAGGTTCTAATATTCAAAAATTATTTAAAAAAATATTTTAATCGATATATATATATATATATATATATATATATATATATAAGATGGAGATGGATATATAAATTAAGATGGAGTTATTTTGGACAGCTATCCATTGAGTCATGTAGAATTTGTTGACGGAAAAATGTCACGATGCATAGTGCTTTTCCTCCAAAGCGTTCATAAGCACTAACGCCACCTAAACAATTACATGCAGTTTGTGGCATGACATAAACGACAAGCTTCATTTCAAGCTGACAATGAGTTCCTAGGAGCAGTGTTGCCACAGCAGACGCGCAGACGTGCGTGAAGTGTGAGTATGCAGTCACGTCTTCGTAAACATACTCCAGAAGGCACAACAAAATTATCCCCTCATAAATATAACCATATAATAAAACGAAAATAAAACTAGGAGCTTTCAATTTCGGAATTTAATATTCGAATAATAAAAACAATTTACATGCACACCTATTTTAAAATAGTCTTCGCATATTACAAGTATAACTTGTTAATGCGATTATCTTCTACATGTTTGTATGACATTTTTTAAAAATGCTTTACCTATTTTCTAAAATCTGATTTAATTCCATTGCATTTGCGAATCTTTAATATTTGTGGCTAATATAATACATCTTTGTCGAATCGCTGTAGCTCGAATTGGCGGAGGCGCCGGGAGAGCAGGGAGTTTGTGCACGCTATAGCGGATAACACTATGAATCTTCTGCGCATGCGCAGATGCACTAAAGTGGTGCGAAACTTGATCTGACCATGCGCAGAAGATCGATAGCGCTTTAACGATTGAGGGTGCATAAACCCTCTAATGCTCATGGCGACGTTAGTGGTCACATGACTGAGTCTGCGGAATAAGGAGAAGGAGGAAGTTTCAAAGATAAGTCGGTGAATGAAACGCGTGTGCGTTGATAAGTACGCTTCCTTGCGGTCAGTGCCGGCGCCAGGGCAGACAGGGGCCCCGCAAGCCAAGGGGCCTGATGATGGGACTAAATGGGGAAAAAATTTAAAACTTTTAAACAGAAATTAAAGTGGGGAAAATCGTTATCGTAATTTTGTTGGTCGAGGTATATTAGGTATGATATTCATAAAATTTTGAATTAAATGTTGACTTTCAATAGTAAATTATCGTCATTACTTATAAGGTAGAGTTATGAAATGAATCAACAGACGCCAATATTAAAGTGGGTCTATGAAAATTCATATTTATTATTTCATGTATTTAACTACAAGTTATTTTATTAAACACTAACTAAACACAAAAAAATATTGTAGTGTTTTAAGCTCACCGTGGAAATTGTATTATTTGATATTTAATACTTTTACTTGAAACTATTATTTAAATTGTATTTCCAGGAATTTGTTCTCGCTTAAACATTGTAATTTTTTGATTTGTTGAAAAAAAACACAACTCATAGTTCGTTGATACAACTTTATAATTTTGAATGTTTTCGTGTGGCGGTGCCGTTTCAGCATTGCTTCGGGTCCACAATTGTCTAGCTCCTCCCCTGCCTGCGGTTGAAGGCCTCCCGCAAACAGAATGGTTGGCTGTGCATCGTCTCGCGAATTAACCTGTGGTGGGAGAGACATTGCTGCAGGGCATTTGTAGTTCATGGGGCCAAAGAATCACTCCCAAAACGTTTATTATACTTTAAGCTTTTAATGTTTATTGCATTATTTCAATAAACAGACGTATAAGAAGTAAAGGCATTGAAACTTATGTATCCTCGTAAAGGCATTGAAACTTATGAATCAGGCGCGGGTCCACGGGGTGAAATGAGTGAAATTCCCCTTCCCCTAAAATGTTTCTCTAACTATTCGTCTGAACTTATCACGAAACGTTCATGCAAAAATATTTTTTGATTATTATTGGAAAGAGTAAAAACGTATCGCAATATGAGCTGAGTGTAGCCTGCGACATTTTACAAAATCTGTAATGGACACATTTAACCAAAATATTTTTAATTTCCCCTCCCAAAATTTGTCTCTGCATTCAGGCCTGTATGTATGAATGTAATATTAGATTGTGATAAATAATGATGTCTGTAGAATATGCTTGTCTGTTGCTTAAGGTCCAAAACATCTTTTTACTGGGACTCATTTTCCCCTCTACGCCTGCCTCCGCGGTCACGAACCCGGCAACTCTGAGTTTAACATCGTCTACTCATTGTCTCCACCTTCAAGCTAACGATTTTTTTTTTGGCCTAGTCGGCGCAAGTGCTGACCGAACAAGAGGCCATATCGAACCGCCCTTCTTGCTGCCCTCGGAACCGCCGGTTTGGCATCACGTCGGGGGCAGTGGGCTGTCTATTATTGCATGTCTTCTGATTTGTCATCCCTCCACCGGGGTGATTAGGGGTTCAGGAGAGTACATCGTGAGTCTCTTTCGTCTTTTTCTTTTGTTCTTAGTATAGTAGAAAGATATGTGCTAATCTTGCTCCAGTTGCTGTTGCTTTCAGTCATTTTGTTGATAATTGAAGCTAACGACTTGAGTGGCGCCGTGAAACTCAGGTTTGTTTACTAGTCTCCACAAGAAACCATGCCTACCTCCACGGTTATGATTTCCCCTGCAGGGAATCACGACTTCATGAATTTATGGTAAAAAACGCTATCTCTGACAAGGCTCTCATTCTAAAATCTTATCGGGATTAGGGTTACAACGGACATGACTGCAAATGTTTCATTACCTCATGGTTCAAGAGTTGGAGGGCTAAGAAAAGAAAAGATTCTAAAGTTAACTATCCTCTGCTGCTAAATGTGTATGCGCTTACGTCATTGTGCGTGGTGGGAGGCATTCGAAACCAATCTCTAAATTGACTCCGTGCCATCAACAAATCTCTCATAAGCAGGGCTCGGATTCTGATGACCTTAAAATTCTTCGACAGTGACCTACGATATGACTTAAAAATAAGAGTAAAATAACATAAAATGACTTAATAAGGGGAAAATTACCTAACGTTTAAAAAAATACTCAAAAAATTGTCCGAAAATGTTTACTTATTTAATGAATTGTACAATTTAAAATAAAATTTATTCAAATAAAATGATCTTTGAATGATAGTTAAGTCATTGCTAGGAGTAAATGTAATCCTTAGCTCCAATCTTCGAAAAACAATCTTCTGCAGCAGTGTATTTCGTCATGAACTGATAATACAATAAAAATTTGTTTGAGTGCGTCATTGTATATTCATGAAATATCAGTAAAAAAAGCAGACGGAAAGGAAACAAAAAGCGTAAAAGTGTCAAAAATGATGCAATGGTCAAACAAAATTACCTAAAAGTGAAAAAAATAGCAAGAAATGGCAAAAAATGCTCCAATAACTATACATTTCTATGACCTATAACTCATGGTAAACATTCATTTACAAGTTAGCTACGTCTACGAAAATGTACGAAAAAGAAAAGATGGC